AAGAATTCCAAGAGCGCCTGGCGGATCTCCCAGCACAGAAGCCTCGACTGGCTGGTCTTGTGGGTCCAGCGTTTGACTCGGATGGTCGGGACGGTACCGGTGTACTGAAACATCGCAAGTCAAGGGAGACTGAGCTCAAGTGTCCTCGAAGAGGCCGTTGACCCATTCAACCGCCACCTGCACAAACGCGCAGCCGGCCGAGAGAACAGGAGGTGTCTATGGAAAACAGGGGTGTTCCCACAGTGAGACAGCACAGGTGGGTAGTGTCCAGAATCGACTAAAACCTTTGGCCACACAAAACAATTAGCCACTGCATCTCGCTGCACGCCGTTTCGGGAAATACAGTACATTGGAAAGCTGAAGCTGTGCCTTGCTTAAAGCTCGAGCACCGCCTCGAAGTCGCTACGAGCTTGTTTGCTTGCTTGCTTGCACGGCATTTGCTCCATCGAGGCAAAACCTCTGCACCCTTGCACGCGAGCGCTACGCCCTGGTCCACGCCCAGACGAGTCGGAGAAATTTGCAAGAGGCTCAGTTATAGCACAGGTCAGGGGAAACGTCGCCGGAAATCTCTCTCTCTCTCTCTCTCGCTCCCTCCCTCCCCACCTCTCTACTGTACTGGTACGACATGATGGAGGAGGCGTCGCTGCCGCTAGCACTTTGAGACTGGACTGTCGGATTCAAAGATGCGGTTCAATGATTCCGGCTTGGGTTACCTGCTTTGGGTCCGGTTGCGTGGCATTGACGACTGAAGTGACAAAGCTCCGGACTTTCCATTATCGATAAGGCTGTCAACCTTGGTGTCCAGTGACAGCTTGGCATTTCGCTGGGGGTGCTCATTGCGTCGCAGCAGAACGACATCGACATCAACATCTCCACCTCTTCTTACCGTTGTTATTGTTATTAGGATGATGATGATAATGATGATTTACTATGATTATGAAAATGATTCTTGTTATTGCTGCTGCTACTACTACTACTCCTACTCCTACTCCTACTCCTACTCCTACTCCTACTCCTACTCCTACTCCTACTCCTACTCCTACTACCACCACGACCGCCACCAGCACCATCACTGCAACCACTGCCACTGCAACGAAGGTCACGACTCACGACACCAGATCCTAAGTATCAAGGGTAGCCTGTCCTAGACTCCCGGAGCGGCCTCTGGAGCTGCAGCCGTCGCGCCCTGCGCTTCAAAGCGGTCTCAAGCGTATGAAAGCGTCCAGAAGGGGGGCCTTAATGGTCTAGTAAGTGGCCTTATAATCCTGAGCAGAGGGTGTCGTCTACTATGAGCAACTCCAAGGAATACTGTGCCGGTGAAGGCATGACCTCGGAAGGTACGCAAGCAGTGGTTTGCACTCCCATTTTTCCATTCCTCAACAGAAATCGCATAGCACAAAAACCCGATTCTCCGACGAGGTCTGAAAGCCAAGGGTCACCCTTCGGGCAGCGACATGAGCATACGCTTGGCCTGCAATATGTCACCCTGTCACTTTGCACAGAAAGAGCCAGAGGTCAGCTTCCCTTAATCCCTGCGGCACGCTCGCCCTTTCACGTGCCTTCACCGGGCTTCTTCTGTTCGCACCTGAAGATGCGAGCGAGCCATCTTCGTGATGCTGTTGACCCAACTTCCCAGATCAACGGACCGAAACTCGGCCAGCAAATAACCCGATCTTTTGCCGCAGGGATGGGCCGAGGATTCTGTTGAGATCGTGATGCAAATACACCCATCACAGCATGACCTGTATGCCAATGCAGCGTCGATGGCCGTGTCCAAGGATCAATCTAGAATCTAGAGAGGTCAGACCGGGTCGAGCAACCTGCGCATGTTTAGTACCTGTGTGCCAACCCTCCAGGAAACGGCAGCCTCAGCCTCCCGGCGACCCTTGAATCCCAGCCTTGGATGGCAGCATAGCTCCTGCGTCTATGCTTCTTATTTCTGGTCCAACGCACTAAACTTAGAGCCACAACCTTTGAATTTCAGGGCTTCAGACTTGGGGTCATGCGGTTTGCCTACCGTCATGCAGTTCCTCGCTAGAACGCTGAAGCATTCGAGCGATCCCCGGTCCTGGCCAGCCCCAGCACTGTAAGCAGTGCCAGGGGCAGGGCAAAGCGCAAGCAGCGACGGACCTGTCCGACTCCAACTTCTGAGAGTTCAGGCGCCTTGAGACCTCTTCACAGGTGGGCCCTCTTCGCAGCCCGGTAGAAACGGAGACGGAGAGCAACAGCATCGAAACAAACACTCCTTCAGGCACAGACCAAGGATCGCCCTGAGCATGGGGACCGTTACATTATGTCGCCTTTATCAGTTGTACTGACTACTTAGACTGCTTCTGTCAACAAATGGGACGGCAGGAGACCTATTTAGCATTATCCCTGCATGTGTCCAGCCAGGGATGAAATCTTGGATGACCAATCCAGGAGACCGTCTAGCGCCTAGGGCCCAATACTCGGACTTCTGCGGGATGTGGCGATGCGCGGATTCGGAAAGGTCGTGGGTTGTGGCGTTGTGCTGCGAGGTGTCCATTGATTAGAAATATTTCACGACACATGTTGCTTGAGTTCCAGTTGGGCTTGTCAGGCTACTTGGAAGCAGAAGCCTGCAGCTTCCAGGGCAGATAGATGCATGGGAGGCAAGATTGAGCAACTAGCACCACTGCTGTCAGGGGGCTACCGAAATCGCTGGGTTTACTCTACATACTGAGTTCGAAATGCCGTCGGCTTCAGCTTTGTCTGGGCAACCTGGGACTCTGCAAGGTCACTACTGGGTCAACAGCAGCTCCCCAATTACGATACATACGGGACCTTGACGGCCGCAAGTGTCTGAAGCTGCAGTCCCACCCCTCCTCGTCTGAAAGCCCCAAGCCCAAACCCACCCGTTTTTAAATTCAACCTCCGCTTATTCTCCAGTAAAGTGCGTGCCTGTACCTTCCTCGCCATCTCTGTGCCTCTTGCAGCGAGGCATTTGATGTGAGGCAGCGAATGTATGTATGACAGTCTGTAAGCAGGTAAGTAAGTATGTAAGTAAGTATGGCCTTAGGCATACCTACCTACATACATACATACATACATACATACATACATACGCACGTACAGTTAGTTACATGAGTACAGGTACATACAGATACATACAGTTACATACATACAGACAGACAGAAGGCAGGCAGGCAGGACGGCAGGCAAGCAGGCAAGGCAAGACAGACAGGCAGGCAAACAAACACGAACAGAAACACACACACACACAGAAAGGACACACGCAAGTGCACGGACATACATGATGATTTACGTACATACAAACATGCATGCATATAGACATGCATGCATACACACATACATACATGTACCTGTTCATAATATATTTGCTCGCATGTATGTTTGCAACGATGACATAATCAAGGCTGGCCCAGTGTTCTGCTTGACAATGCGCTGCCCATGAACCCCAGTAAGGCCCATGTAACGCTTTCTCGTCGAACCATATCGAGTCACTGGACTGCTCGGCACAGTGACGTCTCAAGTTAAATCGCCAAACCCATGCATTGCCTTGCATGCTGCGTTGCTGACCGCTTGACCCAAAACAGTGAAGACCGTGAATAGTCAACCGCACTATTGAATCCTGCTGGCCCCACCTCCTGCGCCGCAAGTGAGGTCTCTAACCGATTGGAAAGCCCGAATGCTTCGAGACAGCGGGAGTGTGACACAGCGTGGGGACATGGAGGGTTCGTCTTCGGGCCCCACGGACACCTGTCTGTCTGCTGCTCCTTTCAAAACTTGTCCGTTTGGGGTTTTCCACGAGTAACTCAAAGCCGTCGATTTCCCAAGCACATCTATGAGAACTTCTAGCGGTTCCCAGAAAGTTGGAGACCTCCGTCGCTCCTTACCTGGGTTGTGCAAGCTTTGCCTTCCGAAGAGACTCGAATGCAGTGTGCGTCTGGTACTTCGAGGCGGTGCACGTGCTTAAGGACTGTTGCCAGAGATTGTCGAAAGAGAGACTCCCGAGCAGGAGCGTGCTATCAGACTCAGGGTCGGATGGGGCGCGTTCAGCACACCTTGGGCTGCTCTATTGTCGTAGATCGTTGCAGCTATCCGTGCGACGGCCTCACACCGAGTTGTGGTGAGCTTCCGCCGGGAAGAGTCCTGGTGCCCAATAAGAACACCAACATCAACCTTTGTGGAAGGGCCGGATCAGTCAAGCTACCTGACCGCCTTACTTAAGCATCAACAGCATGATGTTTTGGGCCGCGGAGTCCACAGTCAACATGTTCATGCGTGCTCGCGATTGTCATGGCTGCCATATGATGCCCTCGTAACCATCATGACAAATTTGACTGCCTACTGCTCCCCATCATTTTAGCGTCGCCCACTGCCCGCGCGCAGAGAGCCCTCCCAAGTCTCGAAGCGGCCTCGACATGCCACTGTCCCTCTGAGAACCACAGAAACTCGGAAACTCCAGGTGTGCCCTGTGTAAGATCCGCTGGTTCTCGTCCTACTGTTGGCCCTGTCGGCTGCAAATTCCGGTGTTCAGGGTGCTGCCATGGCTCGCTGCTGTGTCCCAAGTTTAGAGAGATTTTCATACAGAGCCAACAGACAGGTGAGCAAGGCTACCACCATCAAACTCACCAGCAGTTCGAAGTAGTCTGCGACGGCCACCTGCCAGAGATGCTTGCTTGCACTGGCATGGGGCTCCCAACAGCCTCAAAGCTTCGCGGAATGTACTAGTGACTACTAGTGGCACCAGACCTGCTGTCAAACGACCAGGACAGCCCACCGAGCAACACAATGCCCAAACGCAAAAGCAAGACGCAATTCCCAACTCTTGTGAGATTTGAACTTCGAGTCTCAGCCATAACCCAAGCACGCATATAGCTCCGAAGCTGCAGTCCCTGCACCCGAGACCACGCCCTAGTACTGTAAGTCCCGACTACAGCCTCGAAGACCGCTTAAAAATTGAAAATCCCAGCCCCTAACCCGCAACCCTCGTGACGGATCACCACTTGCGGGCCTCAGCGCACTGGGCTTCGGCTTCGCTCGCGCTCGGCACCCCACTGGCCAAGCAAAGGATTCTCCTGCGAGCGGGGAAATGTAAGGTTCTTCCATGAAAATTCACACCATGCCGGAAGAATGGAGCTTTAATCAGTGAAAGCAATCGAAGAAGCACCACAAATTTATAAGAATGCCAACAAACAGGCGGATGAATAACTGTGCATATGTGTATATGTATATATACATACATACATACATACATACATACATACATACATACATACATATATATATATGTATATAAATCGATCTACCTATTTAGTATTTATTTATGTGTTTGTTTGTTCATTTATTTATGTATAGATAGATAGAGTCACAGATGGATAGATAGATAGATGGCTGGATAGATAGATAGATGGATGGATAGATAGATAGATAAATGGATAGATAGATAGATAGATAGACAGGTAGATAGATAGATAGATAGCTAGCTAGCTAGGTAGGTAGGTAGGTAGGTAGGGAGATCGACACATGGACAGATCGATGGGCAGATAGATAAAGTAGTCAAGCGGAGAGATAGATCGATGGACGGACCGAACGGTAGCTAGGTCAGATAGAGAGCGCACCAAAGGCTCAGCGTTTAGGGTTTGGAAAGGGTTTAAGGTCGAGAGCCTCAGTGCTTCAGGATTCAGTGGCTCATGGCGACACCAAAAAATCTCGGGGCGGGGGTTGAATTCGGGATGCTAGACCACCAGTCTTTGGAATGCCATACCAAGAAACACGGGGTGGTTAGGTTGCGGCAGAATTCGACAGTTTCACTCTATTCAACGACACTCAGGGTCCTTACTGGTGATGGTGCTGATCGGGATGGTCTTCCAAATCTTTTCGTTGTCCGCAAACACGATCTTCACACCTCGCACAGAAGCCGCGAAACATGACGAAACGAGCTCGGTGGAACATTTCTTAGGTCTAAACGTGTCTAAACTTCGTGCATGGCCCTTTCACCGCACAACGTGGGACAAATAACAAGCCTGAAAGTCTTGATGCCAAGTGTGTATTGCTTCGGTGCAACAAGCATCGAACGATTCTAGACAGATCCTTGCATCGGAATCGGACACCCCTCACCCGATAATGGGCTTCTCAGCCAAAGCGCTGCCCTTCTCCACCGAGATATCTTTCACGATGACCTCCAAGGTCTTGCCGGACGAAGCCTGACAAGAGTCAGAGCTGCCTGGTTCAAGGCTTCTTTGGCGAGGGGAGCATACGCGCGCGCGCACGACCCCGTTCTTCAGTTTATAAACGGATCCCTTATAGTATTTACCCTAAACCCTAAACCCAGTATGGTTTAGGATTTAGGGTATATAGATTCCTTGGTTCAACGGTTTCGGAGTCTCTCGGTGCTGGCGGGGCCTTGCCTCGAAGCATCGGAGATCTGGGAACTCTAAGCAGAGGGCTTAGAAGGGCTTATATGCCTCAGGGGGTAGCAGGAAGTAGGTCCCTGATAGAAACGCCCCCACCCCCCTTTCCGTGTTCGCGGGAAGCTTGCAGGATTCATGGTGGAAAAGCCAGCATTGGCTCATAGCAAAAGCAGCCTCAAGGCTTGGCTTCTCACCAGAAAACCCCCAACAAATTCAAGAGCGTGGAAGGATCCTCGATATCCCCAAGGGTCTCAAGTATCCCACTCACTGGGTACCTGGCTTTTTTGTAGTGATGCAGAGTGGTAACTGGTAACTCAGAGAGCCTATGACTGCACTTAGGACTACTTGAAGGATCAGGGGACTCAGCAATCAGGTCATGAGTCATAACGGGGTCACCTTACTTAAACCCCTACGTGTTACCAGGCTGTTCAGCAGACATTGTAGCAACGAATAGAAACCAAAACATAAACCGCAAAGAAAGTATACCTCCGAATAGCCTGTCTTACTGAGCCGACTGGACCTTCGGGTATTGTGTGATTTCAGGGTAGGGTGGAGTGTGCGCCGCTCGGGTCAGACAGAGCAACTACAGCAACCGGTAAAGCCAGCATGAGTGGAGGCAGGCACAATATGAATTTCCCGGGAACTCCATCCTGGTAGGCAGAATAGCACGTCTCGCTCTTGGAAGGGTGCGAAGCACAGCCGCTCCCACATACCGAAGTGTCCGTGAGTTTTCCTTTTCTTCCACGGCAAGCAAAAAGGTGGTACTCGCTGGCCCCGAAGAAGTGGTGTTCATCGATTTTGCGGCGGCATACACAGCATGGCTTGCCAACCTGCATGGTGTTACTTTCTGGGAGATTCTGTGCTTGCTGAACCGTCCGGCAAACTGATGCCACGCACACCACCGCAGCCGTGGCGATGAGAAGACGAGTTTCCATCCTTCAGCGAAAACATACTTTTGCAGAGAACAGAGAGCTTCTGTGCAAGTGCAGCGGCTTGAGCCGCAGAAACTTCTGGTGGAGCCATTTCAGAGTTTAGGGCTCACTCTAAACTCTCAAACCCCGACCCTGGTAGCACCCTTGTTACCTACATGATAGTTATGTGACTGTCTAGTCAACACTTCGTGACGGTACCGGTAGCGATGATGCTGCTGCTGTACGAAGATGGTGATGATGATGAGATGATGATGATTACACGACGATGGCAATGATGATGGGGATGATGAGGATGAGGATGCTCATGCACATGCTGACGATGACGACGACGATGACGCTGCTGATGCTGATTCTGTAGCAGCTTGCTGACGATGGTGCTTATGATGGCGACGATGATGATTATGATGATGAGTCTTTGCAAACTCCTTCGGAGGTTCCCCCCCCGACACTTGACCGTGTCCATGGGGTCTCGTCAGCATCCTTCTGGGCATCGTCCACTTTTTTCATTGTCTCCGATTCGCGCCTTGTAGCAAAGATGCGAGTCGATGTGCACCCAGGGCCTGAGTCCGCTGTACATTCACTCCAGCTATGGGTTTAGGGTTTTAGGGCTTTAGGGTTTTCGGGGCTGCAGTGACCGTTCTTGTTTTTGCCCGTGTTGTTGCCACAGGCACCATTGATGGAAGCCTTCTGCACTCTGCGGATAAACTAGGCTCGACGATTTACCTCGTCAGACATGCCGCTCTTGACCCTCTGTCCCTGTCTGTCTTCTTTTTGTCTTCTTTTCAGATGCTGACGCAGCGCATCGAGTTGCAGGCACGCCAAAGTCTCTTTCTTCCTGGCTTCTGTCGCCGTCTTTCTTTCTTTCTTTAGCTCTCTCTGGGCGCTCCAGGCACCGCAAGTCCTCGGACCTCGCCTGGTGTGCGCCCCTGGAAAGACCTGTGAAGGACCTGATTAATTTCCGGCCCTACCATTCACAGCACTCTCGTTAAAATCTTGATCTAAAGGTATCTCCTCCCAAGAATTGGATCCACTTTTGTGCACACACAGAGACAGCTTTTATAGATTGCATTGTGGCACGGATGGTACGGCAGAAGCCTGGGCTCCCGTCTGGGCACCCCCCGAAAGAAAAGGAGTGAGTTAAGAATTAGGAAAAATCTATCAGCCTCGGGCTTGACATCCTCATCAACTGCAAGCCCAACTCAGCAATGCCTGAAACTCAGGGTCCGGGGCGGGAAATCCGGAGGCGGTGCACGTGGAGGCTGGACTCCTGTGACAGCGGCAATGGGGGCGGGGGAGATTGACTGGGTTCATATATTATATACTATAGACTATAGATCGCCAGTAATGGTCACTTCAACAAAATCCCAAAAGACAGGAACCCGGTTGAAAGCGAAAGTGTTGGGTTCGGACCCTCAGGGACCGACTCGCTCCTGCGCTCTGTGCGCCGACGAAGTTGGAGGCGCTCTTCCAGGCCCCCGGCTTCCTTGGGATTTTAAACGCCATGCGCGGAAAGAGGCGCATGTCATGTGCGCAGCCTCAAAAATCGCCGTTTCTTGCGATTGTTTGATGCGGCATGGCTAGGGCCAGGGTCTTCGGAGCTGCAGTGTCTTGCGGAGAGCAGGATGTAGGACTTACGCTACACTCTATCAAACTTAAAGCAACCGGCACTCAAGGCTCTGATGTGCGGAGGAATCCCATCAACACGACCAAAAAGAACGAGCCTTCAAACGATGGCTTGCTGGCAGAGGCTCACTTCCAAATGGGCGCCTGCGACACCTGAGGCCATCCGATCAGAGGTCTTAAGGATTTCGGATTCAGAAACTTCCCAAGGTCGGACATGGTAGAAATTCTATTGCGCGAAGTGCTCAACTAGGGCAAAGTCGCCGCGGCACCGAGCTGCTCCAGAGCCAGTTTGTCTGTCTTTCAGTTTTAGTCCGGGCTCCAAACCTTCGCCGGCTCCCTTCAGCAGCATTGCCTGGAGACAAGGCTGAACCCCAGTCCTGCAACCCTCAGCACTCGAAGCATGAAGCTCACAGCAAGTGAGCCCAGCAAGAACCAAGAAGTTCACATCACTGAATCACTTCGAACGAGGCCCAAACGTAGAGATTCTTCCGCCCAGGCCCTGCTCCAAGGGACTCGGGGGCGATGGGCAGATCTCCAGAGTGTGCGCGAACCTGACGCAAAGAACCCGGAAGCTCTGTTGGGTTGTGGAATTCCAGCTTTGTGTCAGGGACCTGCTTTTTGCCATACCTCCATATGCCAGCGAGTTCAATGCGATGCATGAGATAGAAACACTCTTCTGCAGCACCAGCCGTTATGCTCAACGCTGTCGTCGTCATGCGCGTGAGAACAATCAGTTTGAGAAGATGCGTGACATGCAGCTCCGTATTCGACAACCACCGTCAATTTGAAGTGAAACCTAGACACTGAAGGCTGAAATGAGACAACCGCCCAATGAGGGCCAGACATTTCCGGGACTGCCTCCCTGCAGACCTCCCGCCACGAAAGACGTTGCAAGCGATACACTTGTGGCTGTTTGGAAACTCTACTCGACCCAGTACGTCTGCTTCCAGATCCTGCTTCATCCGAAGGCATACTACGACCTTCTATCAGGAACTGTCCTACCAGCACAACAGTGCGCAGCACATGCAAGAAGGATGAATTGTCAGAGGAGTTCACTCCATCTGACTCTAGCCATGGAGGATCGTTCAAAACATGAGCCGCATGTACCTCGGATTGTCCTTGTGAACTTGCTAGATACCTTTCGCATGTCGTCACAACTTTGAAATGCCCAGGCGCGCCTATCCGTCCTTTCCTGCCTCCAATCCACATGGCTGAGACCGCGCTGCTTAGCTACCGTACAGTCAGAAAAAGGGCACCAAACATCAAGGACGTCTTGCGACCTGCACGTATTCTGTCATTTCACATGGCAATGCAGCAGTGCCCTGAAGCCGACGGCGGAGGAAGCCCAAATACTCAGCTTGACAAAGAGAACGAGCATGAGCCGCTCAGCAGAGCCTCCGAAAAAGAAGGGTCGGAGCGCTCTTCCAGGGCTAATGTAGGCAGCGGCAGGGAGTTCCGGCTTTCGATCCCGGAGTCTTACAAGCAATACGTAGAGGACTGGGCCCTGCCGCAGCAGAGCAGGGCACTCTAAAGACTCGTGCGGTGCTTCTTGCTTCGAAACGGAGCAATGCTGTATAGGCTCGCAGCCCGAGTTGAGGTCCACCGCGGGAACCACAAAATCAGCACGAACACTAATTTTAATCACGGTCTACTCAAGGCCTTGCAAGGGGTACAGAAGTCGCTGCAGCTGAGATTGGTGCCACGTCCGAGTCGGCTGCCGCCACCAGCAGTGACAAAGCCTGTGCGCAGGTGCCAGTGCTCTTTTCGCACTCGCTGCGGTGCCTCTTGCCCTGCACCGTTATACTCGCCGGTGCTGTCCTGAGCCCGAAATGAAGCATGAAAGAGCAACACTTTCTCGAGTCCTGTCAGAGCCTTTACAGCCTTCTCGTGAGACTTCGAGGGCGCGCTCCTCGTCGAGGGCCGAGCATCTTGAAGTTGCTGACCAAGCAAGGGACACACCGGTAAAAAGATGCGTTGCTGGCCCTTCAGAGGGTCGCGCCAGATCAAAGAGTACAAACAGTTGAGTATCTCACGGAACTGCGGGGAAGCCTTCTAAGGACCTGGGCAACCACAAAGGTTCGGAAGGGAAGGCAAGGTAGTGCAGGTTAGGGGTGATGATTGCGTGATTCTTACCAGCATAGCACAACTTACACCGGCATGTTTCCTCGTGGCTTCATTCGTTGCACGACATACTAGTGTCACTGACAAAAGGCGAGAGCCCCGGCCCACCTTATTACACGCAGGCTTCCAGGATCCTTAGAAAGCCATCCCGAGCAGAGCACCTCAAGCATCGCCGCTTAGCAGCTCCGCACAAAGCATCTCGCGAATCAGGTTCTTGATCGCCGGATGTCTGTAAAACTTGCTCTGGAGCTTTGCAGGTTGATAAGACCTAATTGCATGTAACTGCAGAGTTGGGGACCCGACCTCTTTCGAACAACCCGAGACCCTCTCAAGTCACTAAGAGAAAGAAGGCGAGAGATAAAGACAGAGAGCGAGAGCGAGCGACAAAGAGCAGACACAGCTGCTGTCCAAGTCTTTATCTGGGTCCTGTTACCTTCGTTGCCGACGCATCATGAGGAACCTATGAACCAGAACAAGGTAGAAACCAAAACAAACTCAGAACCGTCCTTTAGCCATCGCGATCTTCTAAATGTGGCTCGGACGTTCCTGCCATGACAATCACCAATGGCCACACGTTTGCAGTATGTAGTGCGAGGCAACGATGTTAAGAGTTTGATGCACGCTTGAAGTAGCATCAAGTGTTTCGGGAGCTGAATGTTCCGCAGACTTTGGCTTGTCGGCGGCATCACAAAGATCCTGCCCGGAAACAAGCCAGAAGCGATCGTTTGGCTTCCGTCTCTGTGTGCAGAAGCGCAAGTGCGCCTTCCCCGAAAGCTCCAGGTTAGATTGGACGTTGTTAAGGTAGGCCACAAAGCTCTAGTTACCGCGTCCATGTCCGTGCGACATGAATGCTTTGGGCACTGCTACTGTTGATAGCATAAATCCTGCATTACCTTAAGGACCTTAAACTATGGGAATTATTGTATACATTCCTTATTATGGGTAGTGCAGGATTTATATCATCAACCGTAGTTCTCCTTTACCTATGGCAGCGCGCGAGGATGGCACCGGGAGCTGCAGGATTTTGCGCCGATCTTCTGTGTAGCTTTGCCCCCTCATCTAATTGCTCTCATGTCCCCTAAGCAGGGACCAGAATGATCTCCTTACGAAGCTTATGGTTCATACTCATACTCTGTCTGCAGAGAGGGTTCACAGTGTAAGATGGTTTCCGCGACCATCGGGGCTACCAAGCTTCCTTAGCCGCTTCTGCACACAGTGCTACTGTGCATCCTCTTCCTGGTTTCGACTCGGTACCATTATTGAAAGGTCATCTCCTGGCTTAGCTTCACCAGAGCACTGAACATGAGAGACTTCGTGAGCAGGGTGTTGGTGTTTCCGGACGATCCAGCTCACAGAGTCCTGCAAGAGAATGTCTGAGTTACCACAACAATTACACCTTAAGCCGTCCTGTAAGACCCTAAATCCAGTCAATGTTCCAAAGAAACAAAAGCTAGCATAGCTGTCTCTCGCTGAAATTCCTTAGCTTAAGTCCCGAATGGCTGAACCAGGTGAGTCCCGAAGCATGCAGTCGGCAGAGACGCCAATTCGGGTTGATTACCATCACCGGGCCTGTGCGACGTGTGCCACAGCGAAGACACATCGGCCCGAAGCCTTGCTACAGTAAACCTCAACAAGGGAGGCGATGCCTCTCGGGCCTTGACAGCCTCGAAGAAAGCTAGACAAAAAACTACAAAATGGCAAAGCCTCTGCTTGATGTGGCTAGCTCGCTTCCATCACTGCGACAACCGCGACGACAACTTTCAGTGACAAAGAGCAGGAACTTCTCTCACATCCCCGGCAGAAGACGAATCACACAGAGCAGGTGGGCTCGTCTCAGCACATCCCGGTGTCAAGCCAGTCATCGCTGGCTTCATCCCAAGAGGATTCTCAGTGGCGGGCTCACTGAACAGGTCAGGCAAACAATCAGGACCCGGGTCCAACCCCTCCAACATTACAGTATGGGAAGTCAACACCACACGCCATGCAGCCTGCCAAAAGACAAGGGCGCTGACGTGGATTTGGAAGTCCGAGGCTTAGCAAGAATTTTGGCATTCAAGGTGTTACTGATGCGATTGCAGTCAAAAAATGCAGCCATCTCAAGGCAACAACTGGCAACAACCAACATGATCCTGGATGTTCCATCTGCCGCGGTAACAGCGAACTGACCCTTGACATGCAGAAGGTCTGGTCTAGATGCGAGATTGGACAATTTTCAGAACCCTCCTGGGCCATGCCAGCGGCAGACTTAGACGGCCACTCGTGCATCGTCGAATGACACGTCAGAATTCTCACAGTCCGTCTGAGCAAGGTGGGCCAGCCGCGGCTTGGAACCAGCCGACATTGCCTTTACTCTCGGGCTTCTTTTCAGCTTATCTCGGTCGGCCCACCACGCAAGCTGTCGAGAGACATCTCTGTCCCCCTCCTTCCCTACAGTTCCGTGCAGGCACTGTGCAGGCCATGTGCAGGGCATGTCTCGAAATACTTCCCGGATCTGTGAACTTCAAGAGACCAATGTGAAAGAGCCTGCAAGGCGATGGAACCTTAGGGACTATGCTGAAATGCATCCACTCACTTGTCGGTCACTTGCGCTCACCACTTGAGTGCCTGCTCCGGCAACTGAGGTGTCAATGAGCGCTGCTACATGCTCAACGACGTTCCTTACAGCCAACATCCACGGAATAGTGTCCGACCGCCTGGCCTTTGCATGCTCACGACCAGCCGCTTCCGTCTCCCTTTGGGAGTACCTGCAGTCGCAACCGACCGAATCGAAGCTAGAGGCTTCAGTTCCAGGCTAGCTCCAAGCATGACGGGGGTGGCCCCCGACCTGTGAAACACCCGAGTCCCCATACAAGCTTGTCTGTTTGTGGAAGCTGCTTTTGGGGAGCGCGGCCCCACCCAAACTCTCGCAGTCGGCTAAACGAAACTCAGAGCCTCGAAGCCATCGATGGGGCCAGCCTGCGCATCAGTCGTTTCCGTGGAGTGCCAAGTGTCTGTGGGTGAGGTGCGCTCTTGGCTTACCGGATCACATTGACATGAAATCTGAGACACACAGTGTTATCAGTGTTTCTGAGCATGAGCGAAACGTTCATGACGCACAATCCTGGCTAGGGTGTAGCATTTGCCTTCCAACACACCTCGCAACGACCTCGCATGAATCAAGATGTTTGCACGCGACAGCCCCGAAACAGTCACGTTTGCTGCTCGAAGGACTCATCTGGCACAGTGTCGCCTCTATCCTGGCTTTGGCCTGCTCCACCACCTGAAGGAAACAAGTGGGCATGATGATACCAAGCTCGCTTTCCAGATCGCGCATCGAAGACATCGAAGACTAACTCTTTGTTCACAAGGTCCTAATGTTAAGTTGCTCGATTGGAGTGCTGTGCTGTAAATTTCGATACTGATACTGCTCGCCAAGTCCCTAGCCGTCTACATGCGACGGCACCCATAGTATGGTTCTCAACCGGACAGCTGTCGATTCCACTGTCCATGTTATGCAGCAGGACGGCGCCTAGAGTCAGGGTGTGCTACAAAACGGCTCCGTCAGCACTAGTCATGTCGACCCGTCTAATACGTGACCTGAAGGGTCAACACCCAAACAGACCTACCATGCAGAAAGGAATCTGCAGACCAGGAAGTGAATGTATCTAAGGCTTGCTGCCCGCTACCCAGACAGCCAGCCGTACGAGCTCCGCATCCCACACAAGGAACAAAGCCAAAGGCCCAGCCCAATTTTATGGCGACACCTCTCGGCGAAGCGCTGCACAGCCCCTCAACCGCCGCGACAAGGAGGCAAAAGCGGCCAAAGCCTGCCAGGTCAACTGTCGCTGCGGGATTTTCGATTTGTCGTTTGGACATGTGCTGGAGGGCTTTGTGAGTTGAGCGTCCGTGTAGCCTCTCCGATGCGCCTTTCCGAATCCTGAAACGCCTCGCCCTGTAACCTCCACCCTGCAGAGAAGACTGGGCCTCTTCGAGAAAGTCGGCCAGGTGCTCGGGCTCTAGGGTCGGAACCTACCGCAGCACGAAAGCAGCACTGTGTAACCACTGTGTAAACTATAGCTGTTAAGAAGGTCGGCTTGGAAAAAAAATCTTATGCCCTGCGCCCGCCCTGTTTCTGTGGTGCCTCGACATCCACCGAAGAGCCGGATGAGAGAGGCGAGGTAGCAACTGAGGCCGTGGGCATTCCAATGGAACCTTGGGCCTGGCCTAGCCTTGGGCCCTGTAAAATTCCGAATCCACAATGCAGCCTTTCCCCACCATGACAGTACGACCACGAAGCTACATTCGCCAATGCCGCTAGCATCCGCCAGAACCACGATATTCTGGGGGCCTGGAGAACTCGGTCCGGCTCGTTGTTGGGAGGCTTCTAAAGCCTGCGCAGAAGTGCAGGTGTTGAGCTGAAATTCACTAGTTTCTTTTGGAACATTTGTCGATAGATGATCAAAACTCGATGGAGGCAAGTTGAGCAGATTGGTGGCTGATACCTTCATTCACACATGCGCGCATTCTGCATGTATCTGTTGATTCATTTGCCGGTCTGTCTGTCTATCTGTCTAGCTGAGTCTCTGCCTCTATACAGATGTTTCTATGTATGCACACCAACATTGCATGCGACTACTTAAACTGCAGTACTCAGTACACTGCATGGCGCACAATTAGGCGCTTACCAACATAAACGCATCCCCATCCATTCATCCATCCATCCATGCATCAATCCATAGGTCTTCAGTGGTCATTGCCCTCATCATCATCATCATCGTCATCATCACCAGCATCAATGTAGCAGGGCTTCCGCGCGGTTTAGAGATGGGGCAAAGAGCAGGAGTTGAGTGATGGAGTCGAGCGAAGGAGTCGACCGATGCAGCAGAGAGAGAGAGAGAGAGAGAGTGTGTGCCAGCGCGATGCGTCTTTTCCTGCACAGAAGCTCTTAGTCAGCACCGGGCCTAAGCCTGCGAGGGGTCCGTGCAGCTTGAGTTTGTCGCCGGTCTGTACTTATTTCAACTCCTGCTTGGGCAACGTTTGTGAGCCGCTTCGCATCTTGGCAATCCCTCGAGCCAAACCGCTCTTTCCAGAAGCGATCTGGTCCACTGTCATGCCAGCGGCCCTTTACAGAGTCTTCAACAGCTCCGGGAGCGCTTCCACCACGTAGACTTCACGTCCTTGTGGCTTGCTGATGTCACTGCTGAGGTTCAGGAGAGTTTATAGCACCGCATGTGTTGATTGCAGAAGCTTTCCAAGAGGGCCGCAGCAAGGTCGCCCCTTCCTGTTGGCTCTGCAGTGTAGTTAGACTCTGAACTACAAGTCTTATGGTTTGACATGCTCATGTCATCGCCCCGAGGCCGAATCAGGCGCGGCGGTGTCTGAAGCACCCCAGCTGAGCCCATCGCCGGTGAGTCACCTTCACTTGCCGCTCTCTTTCGATTGATTCTTCTAGGAGTCGTCACGGCTGCAAGCGAGGCTGGAGCTGTGGTAGCCCGTGACGCCCTGGGCGATGGCGAATCCAGCTGTGTGGCTGCAATCCCTGGCTTCGTCTGTGTCATCGAAGGCTCTGTCTGAGTCATCATGTCTAGCGACACTGGATTCTCGATGGACATGGCTCAGTGCACCGCTACGGCAAAATGCCTTTCTGCTCTGTCTGATTCTCGCCAACTGTTTTCCAACTTGAGCAGCGCGCGCCCAGTCTTCCATTCATGCATTCATCCGTTCACCAACCCACCTGGCCATGCATCCATATGTCCATCCCGCCATCCATCCATGCATCTATCCATATGTCTATGCATGCACCTATGCACGGCTCACATGATGTCCACTCGAAATGCAAGTCACCACCTCAACAGTGACAGCACTGCAAACTAGTAGTTGATGGCATGACATAGCTTGATGCATGCCAGGGGACGGCTGCAGCGTGGCGACTCAGCCACAAATCTACACTTCCTTTTCTGCGATGGACGTAACTTTCAACACCCGGCAAGATCATGTAAACCTAGACCAAGCTTTCGTGGCTTACTGTCTGCGGCTCTGCATGGCATAGACTATAGCTCCCCTGCATCTCCAAGTCCCCAGGCAGCTGCCAGGCGGAACCTGTGGGCCTCCCAAGTCCAAAAAAAGCTAACTCCAAACCCGAAGAGTCCGAAGTCTCTTGGCCTGGCACCAGGCACAGGCCCGGGCCTGTCCAAAGTTTCTGCTTACGGGCTTGGATTCTATTCTACTTCACAGTATTCCTCCATGCCGCGCGTTGCTGGAGCGCCGGCATTTCTGTCTTTGGTGCTGGTCGGGCGGTGACTGCGGTCCGCGAAGTCGGTGCCAGGAGGCTTTGATCATGCATCGCACACCCAGTCGCGGCAACTGAGGACATCTGTGCTGCAATGATTTCGGACTGCCTCGAAAAGGATCATAGAATCTCTACTTCACAGCTATCGTCATATCCCTATAAGCCCACAAGCTTCCCAAGCCCCTGAAGAAAACCCCTCATCGCCTGCAGGTCGGAGCCCGACAAAAGGAAGGGCTGCAGCTGGGCAACAACGGCCCGGAGATCGATCCCTCACTCCAAGGGAAGCTTCAAACTCTATGTCTTGAGCTTGGGGAGCTCAGCTTCGAATCTTTTCGAGATAAGTCGCAGATAGACCTGAAAATGTTGAGGCCTAGGGCTTAGGGCCTTAGGATACCGAAGGTTCCGTTCTGTGCTCGAGTTTTCGGGTGCGACATTCTCGGTACGCGTGCCCCCTCGCAAGATGGAACATGCGCCTTTGGATCATAGCCCATTTGTCAATCTCCGTACTTGACCCATGAAGCTCTGGACCGAGTGTCCAGCAACAACCCTGGCTTTACGGTATCCTGCCAACTTTACAGATGCTATGTGCTGCAGAGCTCCCCATTTCATCTTTCCTTGCCTGGATTCGGGCCATAGCAACAACCCGACATGCCCACCCGGAAGCAGTCCTGACGATCCGTCGTCCAGACAGTCTAGCTCCTGTGCCAGCAGAAAACAATATCCCAAGTCCAGACCCGAATCACGGAAGTCCTGGATCTTCCTGCAGTCTCCGGAACCTCAACACCCGAATCGCCCAAGCCAAAGCTGGACGGGAACTGTCTCCGGATGTGCAGCTAGCTGCTAGTTTGCAGCAGCAACGTGTACTTACGCATCTGTCGCTCAGGCTTGGCAGAAAGATAAGCAACACAATGCCTTTAGCATAGTGGCTGTGCCAGCGGCAGCTATGACAGCACTGCTGAGGAAGCAAACCAGGCCACGAAAACCCATACTACGACTGCTGCTGCTTCTACTGCTTGCGCTCGTAGGACAAACATAGCACAAAAAAGAGCACCGTTTCTGATGCTTTAGGCATAACCAAACATGCACAAACACAGTGTAATCGTAATGGGGGCACAAGTGTTCACTAGTGTGGCTGCTAACTATTCTGCTATACGAAAACTGTGACTACAACAGCGCCAACGTGATATCAACAAGAACCTTATGCTGTGCACAATGACGATGTATCTTCCTGACAACCCCCCATGGTTCCTCCGCGACTCGCGCCAGGTTATTGAGGAGCGAAAGAAAGCGCTGCCGGAGCTCTCCGAGAATCTGCCTCTCCTGCTGGTTTTTCATGCAATGCAGTGATTTGGGTCTAGGCATCCAAAGCTCTGAGGTGGACTTCGAGATTGGAGCGGACATCCTGGTCCCCGCGAATGTGGTACCAGGAACCCCATCGCCGGAGCTGCCGGAGCAAGGCCTGGCAGGGAAGGCGGCTTTTGCCTCTTCCGAAACAAGCTTTGAGCTACACTTAAGACTTGAGCTCCCAGTGGAAGGGTTTTGCGGAGGCGGCTACGACCCCCCGCCCCCAACCCCTGCGAAGGGTTCGAGCTACTTGTCCCCGGCTCGTCTAGTCTCGCAGGCATCCCTCAATCCTTTCAGCCAAGGTCTCGTAAACTTGTGGGCTCAGGCGCATGATCGAAGCGCGGATCAACATTGATGTAAAACCCTGGTTGAGAACATCTAGGAACCCTGCTCTTGTCATCAAGGATCATCAGCGGGCTTCTTCTATGAAAGCCATTCAAGAAAAGGGGGCTTCCCGACATCACAATGGAAGATCCAGCAGTCCGAGTCCCCCTTCCGGATTCCTCGGGCCCTTCCAAGTCCGGCTCTGGTGGCGCCTGCAAGAGGGACGTTTTGTTTTTTGACACCTCTTTTTCGTCTGCCGAGGGACGGGGTTTAGGGTTTAGGGCATCTCGGGCCTTGGAGATAACCAATTCCTCTTCCCAGCTACCCATCTATCTGTCCTTGTACATTGTGTATCTATGTAATACACGTCTCGCACTCCATCTCTATTGATATGCACATGTGTGAGTATTTTGGTAGCTCTTCTGTTGCTAGCAGCATGAGACGTGTCTTCAGGAGCACGAAGCATTCTTGCACGAGCTCTGGCTGACGCATTTTCTTCCAATTGCTTGTTCGTGTAGCCTCACGGGGCTCGGCACCGGGAGAGCCGATTGTAGTGAACTAATAGCCATCGTATGGTTAAGTCTAGTTACGTAAAGTTTGCAGCCTCAGATGCAAATTCAAGGAAGACGAGATCTGGAGCCTAACGAAAGAAGCGTATGTCTGGATTCCAACCCCACCAATCCTCACCGCGAGCCTCCAGCGGGGCCGACTTCGACGACCTCATCACCGTGAGGCACAAGAATAAAAACGAGGCCGCCGCATCTCTGCATAACTACTTGTAGTTTTCTGCAAACGAATGTATGCTGCAGTCCTAACTCCTAACACACATTTTCCCACGAGAGCAGAAGAGAACCTACTGACCTAGTGCTTGACTTCTATATGATTCGGGGCAGATGTCGCAGGTATGCCTCAGAGTATGCCCTCGAAGTAAGCACTGTCAGAGGGTCTGGCTGGAGCCGCGGTTGCCGGGGTGACGACTCGGCCGCTCCTGGCTTTTGCGGAGAAGTTCGGTTGCGTGGCAGCCGTTGGAACTGGTAGCTGGAACATGGCAAACGAGCACGGAAAGAGATTGCGCCCTTTCTCCCGTTCCGTGCTTTAGCCCGCTTTGTGCTTCGGAGACACTGATGTCCCGACTGTTTGGATACGTACGTGGCACACCCAGAACCTTCACCTAGAAGCCATTCGCTTCTGAAGCCACAAGCTGTATGTATTGAAATTGAGATCTCGCCTCGTGGCCCCGAGCTACGACTCCAACTCCAAGCCCCAGCCCCGAAAGCGCCTAAGCTGCGCCCTCGACTTAGCGAGGGAAAGCTCCAGGTCGCACGGCGCCTGCGATGAAGGCTGGAATCTGATTTGTCCAGGGAGTCAACTGTGGTCTAGAAGTCTGTGGTCGCTCAAGAGTGGTGTCACTGATACGATGGCAGAAGAAACCCAACTAGCTCTTCCGCTGCAAGCCGTTGTCCCTGCCAAGGACCAGGAAAGCCCTCAAAGCCCCAGGCTGCGCCAGTCACTACAAAAAGGAACACGTTCGGCATTAGACTCTCTCCATACTCATACGAGATCGACTCGTTGCCTGGAGCTTCGCGCAACCGTATCTTGCTTCTCCTCCGCCGCCGAAGTTTTGGGGTGGTCTCTGATTCGGCGGGCAGATAGATCTGCTGTAAACGCCAGGAACTTAGCTTTCAAGACACGCTCCAGTGAACCAGCAAGATGAACATTGAAACGAGCCCTAGGCAGCTAGGAGGCGGGAGCCCTCTGGGGGCTTGGTGACTGTGGCACCCAATATTAGTTGGGCCAAAAGTTGCTGTGGACTGAACCCTCATTTACCTCTGCAGTGCCTGCACCAAGAGCTGACTCAGAGGTGCTAAATGGTTTAAAGTATCGTGTTTGGAACCAATAGCAAGCCTCGACGCGACGCCGAACCTCCGCTGCCAGCATGCGTACCGCCTCCTGCAGACGCAGCATGTCATCGCTCGAAAGCCGCATCATGACTGTCCACACAATGGGCACTCGATGTTCAGGTTCGAAATCTGTGCAAGCAGCGAAAGTTCTCGAGTTGCTACTGGGCGACCCCGTGCTCCATCCTCGGCTGGTTTGCCGAGAACGGAACCAGGAGGCAGTGCTTCGAGACCTGGCCAATTTGGGCTGCGCAGGGTGCAGCCGGCAGCGCAGAACAACAAACTGTGAAAGCACGCCTCGCAGTGGCGCAGTCTCCAGTGCGGCAAAGGCTGAAAGCACTCTGTCGTCGTAAAGCAGCTCGTGAGCAATAGTCAGGGCCTGGTACGGTATCAAACTTCGGGGTTGCCTCAACTTATCTGCTTCCCGACCTAGGTGCAGAGACTTCGCGGTAGTTGTGGGGCAAATTCAGCGATTTGGCCAGATCGGGTTCGTCGAAACTTGATTTATGGTCACACTCCTCGTTCAGGTCGTCCCTAAACCCCTAAACCCTAAAACAAGAAGCGAGGTCCGTTATTTGTTTGCTGTGCAACAGTTGGCACCAGCCATGCGTTGGAATTACGATCCTGAATTCTACATCCCAGATCTCTTGGACTGTGCACAGTATGGCACCTGCACTTCCATCAAGAACTGCAGCCATCCATGGCAATCCCACATTTCATCAGCAAGCTGATTGGCCTTGAGCTGTTTCTTGGGCGACTCGCTGTCTGAATCCTCCGACCAACGGCTACGGAGCGCAGAAGTGGGTTGGCTTAATGCTCAGCGGGCCTGGGCTTAGCAACCTTTTCGACCCAGGGTACAGGAGCCATGTCACTGCAGGAAGTAATCACGCTCAAAAAACCCTGCAACCTCGAAGCTGCAACAGAGATGAGAAGACGAATGCGCAGCGTGTCCGAGGACGAGGACATCGCAGCCCAAAGGACCGCTGCGCTAGGTGCGGCCTCACATATCAAGCTTGCATGCCGCCAGAGGACAGTTTGTAGAACTGAAAACATGGTGTGACGACTCTCCTGGTTCAAGCACTTTCGTAACGTCAAAAGATCTTTCAGCGCGGCTCTTTGCGGGGGCTGTTGAGGTTGATGGACGGCTGGTGCTGGCAATGTGGGCAGCGGCAGACCCTACAAAGCAGCCTTGCAATGGTTTTCGTGATGTACCCATGCTAGCCCGTGACACAAGGAGGTATTCCACATCAGATGTACAGAAAGCCGGCCAAGCAAGTGGCCGGATCAAGCTGCATGATTTCTCGGGTACACGCATGAAGAGGTAAGGTTCAGGGGAAGGGCTTTTATGGACCCCGATAAAGACTTATTCGTCCCCTTTCTGGACCATCTCTACGCCGTAGGAACGTGCCTCGTCTGGTCTGTCTGCGACACGCTGGCAGATCTCGGTGACCCGAGGGAAGTCGACGCCTCGGGCTTGAACATGTCAAGCCCGACATGGTTTCAAACAGGGCTCAGGAACTGGCGGCCATGACACCAACTCTCTGTTTGCTCTTGTGTGGTGATACTGCTGACGGTGGTGAAAGTGATCATCCTGATTACGTCGTGATTATTACGGCTGACAAGCACAACCGCCACCTTGACCACAACAACCCTCCTTGCCTTGCCTGGTAGCAAAAGCAACGGCATAAGACCTTGAGGCTCTCACGACTTGACGGGCTCAGGGCGTCCTGCGCTAAAGGCACAAAGCGGGCTCATGGGAACCCAGATCAGCCCATGCTGCAAATCGGGACTGCTAACTTATCCTTCTGTCGAAGCTGCTACTTTCATGATCCTATGTCAGCAAGCACGAGCACAACGGAACCTTAGGACAACACACGTGCAGTTCCCCTTTTTCCTCATCGTGCGGAAGTGCGGAAGTGGCAGTCCGAGAGGCCCAAAGTCTAGGGCCCTCCGCACAAATCCAAAAGAACACGTGGCACTGGTGTGCCACTGATGTGCCTGGCGAGAAAAGTCCCGCGTCTGGTTCGAGCGAGTGGGGGAACTCTCGGCCTCACCGTGCACCACTAGGGCCATAGGTGCGGGAGTGTCGCAAACTAGAAGGAATCAGATTCCAGCACTAAGTGTAAAAAGCCAAAAGAAGCAGCTGGCCCCTCTGTTCGCCTTCCAGAATCCCTTGCAGTGCTTGCAGGCGTGCCCACCTTTTGTGTTTTCTTTGGTGCGCTCCACCAACTCCCAGGCTGAGGACGAGGCCACACGCCTCGTGGGCGTCCCTCGCCCCATGGCGATCTCAGGGTTGTGGAGGTTCACCGGATCCGTGCCAAAGGCTGCCAAGGGGGGACCTCCACTTCCCCAGGCCTGCGTGCCACCACGAGTAGCCAATTCGAGTAGATGGGGCCAGCGTTTCATGAACTTCTCCACCTCGGCCACCCACTGCTGCTCCGCGTTGCAGCGCCAAGCCATCTTCATCGCCACTTGGGCTGTGTCCGGGATGTGGGCCCGCAGCTCCATAAACACCTCCGCGAATTCCTTGAAGACACTGACCGGGAGGGAAACCGTCTCGTCACAGATGCCCCCGCATGTCCTTCATCGGCGGCCTCTCGTCCTGCGCCTGGCTCGAAGAATCGGCCAATGAAGCCGGCCGGGTGCGGAGCTCCAGGGCCCAAAGCTCCTCCTCGTCCCGGTTTTTGCTCAGGCACAATCGGGGAGCGGGCCCTAGCCAGGACCCCCCTCCGCTCCTCGATCAGAAACTTCATGTCCAGGTACAGCTTTCGGAGCCCGTGCCCAAACTCGCAACAGGAAAGCGTTGCTTTCCATCGCCTGTGTCAGCTCGTCGCCCCAAAACTGGATGGAATCAATCTTAGGGACCAGCAACTTGCTGCGGAGGGCACTCTCCTCCTGCGGTTTCTTATTGGCCGCCCTGGCCTGCACCAGGGTGGTCTGCGCAACGAGCACTGCGATCCACGCACTTTCTCTCTCTCTCTCTCTCTCTCTCTCTCTCTCTCTCTCCCGAAACCGTCTGGCCAACTACACTTGAGGACGCTTCGGAATCGCTCCATGTCCATGTGTCTCAAAACTTGCGCACCCAGCGCTGCCAGCGCCTCTTGGTCAGAAATGCCCTGCGCCCCCGACGGCATCTCCAGCAGCGCCGCCACATTCTCATCGGCATACTCGCGATCTCGGCCGCAGACCATCCGTGACCATCTTGGCCGCGCGCGACCTTCACCGCCTCGGCCGCCTTGGAGTGGAACACCAAGACTGGTCCTTGACCCGGTCCTCCTGTTGCTGGGGTCGCTCGACCCGGCCTTCGAACGCCACGAGGTCTCGCGGTTCACCAAACTGCTGCGGAGCGACACCCGCTGGTAGGTCGGCACGACGTCGCTGTAGCTGTGCTCCAGTCTGCTCCCCCTGACGAGCGGAAGCGGGCCAACTAAGTGATGCTGCCATTGCACAACAGCATCCACCACGTCTGGCCCTCGACCAGGGTGCCATGTCCACCGTTGGCGTCCCGTCCGCAAAGCATGCACTTGTTGGGACTCTGAACCCAGCAGTGAGGGCACATCTTGTCCGATGACTGTCCCCACAGCGGCGGGCATCGGATGGTGTCATCGCGGAAGCAGCTGCGAAGCCAGCCAGGGCCTGACTCGGGGCCAAGGGTTCCCTGTCAGCCCCGAAGTGGTCGGTGGTGCCATGGAAGCCCGGGCGGAAGTCTTCATCGTCCAGGGCAGACTCGGTCGTCTCGGAGAAGTGCAGGGATGGGACCGTGCTCTTGGGCCACTCCATTACCGGTCCGCCTGCGCGGTATCCTCATCTTCACCCAGGTTAAGGGCGGCCACGGTGTTTTCCATCTCCTCGAGAAAAACATCGTCCCGGGTGATGTTCTCAACAATCTCCGCCTCCCTGTCATCAAGATCGGTTGTCACAGGACCCAAGAGCGTGGCCCCATCGATCTCGCAACTCCCTTGCCGCCGCAAATTCCTCAACAACGGTCCAAGCATCAGCGGGGGTAGCTGGTGCGGCCATGGCGAGCAACGGCGAGCGAAGGGAAAGTTTTCAATCACAGAAGTGGTGTGCGGGAACACCAGTCAATTGAGCCAAAATGGCATTCGCCATTGTGGTTCGAGCGTATTGCTAACATAAGGCATTGCACTGGCGCTCACTGGTTCAATTAGCCATAGAATTGGGCCGCTGCCAGCTGCCATCTTTCTCGTATGATTCTCCCTAGCAGTCCTTAGAATCAACACTGTTCAGTGCCCGAACCACCGAGACCCTGGGCCTGAAGCATTGCCACGGCTGTGGCGCGCTCCGAAGCATCGGCAACTTCGATAGCGGCCTTGAGCAGCGGCTCTAGTTTCATCTGGGTTCCAAATAGTCAATGCACTTTCAGGATGAAGCTGATGGATGGCGAGAATCAGGATTAGCAGCGATTAACAACATGATGATGATGATGATGATGGTGATGGTGTTGGCCACTCGCGTCTGCTTAAGCTTTGTCCGCTCTCTCGAACTCAATGATCAGGCTGTGCGTGATCTCGGTGGTTTCTGCACGCTCTTCATTCCCAAGGTTGTCTGTGGTGAGTTCCTGTTCGAGCCGAAGCGGCTGACTCCTGCATCCCAAATGCCGAAAAGCTGGGGCCCGGCTCCTTTGCCCGGGCCACTGCGGCGCGACGTCGGGCTGCGAAGTCTCCACAGTGGGCCACGAAGTCGTCGAGGCTGGGCACGGCCTGTGCCGGAAGTGGGGGGCTTCCTTAAGTCTTCTCAAGTTCGAGCCTAGCTCTGTGCTCTGTCGAGGGCTTGGGCCTTCCGATCGCAACGTCATGCCCTGCTTAAACAAGGTGCGATCTGCAGGTGAACGTCATCAAAGCTTCAGACAGATACGCCTGCAGCTACATAAGACCACATAGACTAGGACGGGAGATTATTCCGATGATCCAACCGCGATTTGTCAGGGGCCGGGGCATGTATCCATGCCTTACGAATGAATCGTGGATTTCAGCTCTCTGGTCGCCTCACCAACGAAGTCCGAAATGGCTTCGATGCCGACGATGTGGCCAAGGGCCTTGCAGGATAAGGTCTGCACTCACAGAGGCGAAGATAAACCCAAGATGGCATTCGCTCCGTGTCTGCGAAGGCTGGGGACACGGCACGTGACGCCGAAGCTTCCCAGTGTCGGCCTCTCCGACGGGACAGTTCTCATCGCAACAAAGTCAAACTGAAAAGTAGCAGGAAAGCATGCCCAAGCAAACGTGGCAACGCTTCAGACGCCCAGCTAACCTTTTGCGACAGGACCCCCGGCTCCAAATGTGACTCCAAGTTCTAGTATCCTCGAGAAGTGGGCAAATTCCATGGCCCCTGAGCCTGACCTTGCATAGCTGAAGTCTGGACGATGAAACTAATTCAACACCTTGCGAGGATTCGACTAGAAGGGCTCGGGTCCGCAAGTCTTTGCAGCTTAGCGGCTCCGCTTGGCAAACTCTGCCACTTCAGCACGAACGGCCTTGATGTCCAAGTCGCCAATATGGGCTTCGTGGGTTCAGGGCGGAATGGGGTGCGGGGAGGGGGGGGTGGGGGGGGCAGGGAAGTGCAGGTACAAAGGGGTACTAGGACAAGTGACCGGGATTTGTGGCCTGATGCTTGGAGTTTCACCTACACCAGAAACAGGCGAACACAGGGGAGATTCGGCCTGGATCTCCTCCAAATCCTCCTTGAGCTTGCCCTCCGAGCCGAAGAGTCCTTTTGCATGGCGTGAAAGGAAGCGGGCTTTCGAGTTCTCGAGTTCCCTTTCAAGCTGAGGGGGACATCGGCACTTCAGGTCTTGGGCGGTCTGGTACTCAAGGCTTTGGTGTTGTGCAGCGTCTCCGAATCTTGGCCATGACACCTTTTTGCGCAAACTGAAACCGGCAGCTCATGAGTTACCCGTTTAATTTTTCTGCGCCTTGGATTTCCGTATCTAAGTGATCTGGACGGCCATCGTGTGGGTTCCCTTTCGCTTCATCAGTGTTATCGGTCGAGGTGGCGCGCAACAGAATGTTACATGAGTGCTGTTCTCAAGTAGAGCCCATTGCGGAGACATCGTACCCGACCAACTTTGAACAGCCCACTGCATGCGGAACGGCGAAGCACGTTGCGGGGCACCTTCTGCCTCGCCATCGTCTAGGCAGTCCAACTCCACGGAGAGCCGGTTCAGCCGAAGATCGCAAGCCTTCGTCAGAAAGCTTGGAGGGCCTCTATGCTTCCGGAGGGGGGGCCCCTGACCTGCCTTCCTTGACTTGCGTGAAAATGTTGCCCTTGACTCTTGCGGCCATGTGCAACCATCTAGTGAATCCCAGCACATCTCCTATGTGCTTGACACCGTGCGTGTCTCTCTCTTTCTTTCTTTCTCTCTGTCTTTCTGTTTTTATTTCTTTCTTTCTGTCTTTCTCTCTCGCTCTCTCTCCTTCCATTGGGCATACGGGATCTGTTAAATCCCCCGGGCACCAAGGCCCCGCCATGTGCTGTGAGGCATTGGGAGGATTGTGAAGATAGGTACGACACGAATACAGTTCTGGGCGTGTCCCACGGTTCAAGGAAGGTGAATGCACGTCCCCCCTTTTTGTATCTCTCTCTCTCTCTCTGTGATGGCGAAATGACATGATGGTGAGTGATCCCATGTCGCAGCTTGTTCTTGCTAGCTGCTAGACCCAAGAATCAAAGTAGGAGAGCCTCCAGGCCACGCAGCAACCCACGCAGCACATCGTCCAGGCGATCCTCTGCTTCTCCCAGGCGCAGTGAACTCAAAGGAGCTAGGAGTACAATTCTGCAGCTCAGATTTCGCTCGCTTTTTGCACGACGCCGGAGGCTTCCACTGAATTTAGTGGCCTCCGTACAAGCTTGAAGCTCTTGTGACAATGCGACTCTAGCAACGGCTGGCTTTCCAGGGCCTATGGATCGGCCGGGGCGATATGGCAGGGAGTAGGAGCGTCCCTTAAGAAGCATGTGTGCTGCACCTGTTCTGGCTTGCGGAGTTCCCTTGTCCTCCAACTTCTCCAGGTCGCAGGCGTGGATCTCGTCCCAACCTCAGCAACGGGGCCGGGTTTCTGTTTCCCGAATTCGATAGCCGATGCCGCAGTTTTCCAGGATGATCCCGTCTCCAGCATGATCCTCTGGACATAGGCCGGGGAGCGCAGCGGCGTGTCTCCGCCCATCGCCGAGGCAATGTACACGGAGGCCACATCCAGGCCTAGATCGGCAGAAGGAATCGCAGGTGCACGCCGTGCACTTCAAGGAGTTTCTCAGGCGCCTGTCAGCATCAGAGCTTGTGGCTCGGAGGTTTGCGGGCTTTACGAACACTTCCGGGTGTTGCGTTCTGCGCTGCCTTCCTGGTGGACAGAGAAGGAATCGTACTGCGGAGCTGGTGCTAGTAGAATTGCAGCGAAAGAAAGCTCCGATGCTTTGCCAGTCTGCGCCTTCGCCCAAGAAAAAGCATCGACTGAGGGGAGACTTGCCCAAACATATGGCAAAGGAGCCACATGTTCCCCGGCTCAAACTGAAGCTGAATCGGATCGCATGCTCGCCAAGCTCCCAGCTGTGCTGCAGTGCTGTTGCTGCTGCGCGCCAAGAGAGGTGGGCGACAATGAGACTTTCCTTCGAATGAGCTCTCGAAGTTGGATGCGGCCCAGTGCTTTGGATGCATCAGATACACGAATGGTCCGAGTCAAGCAGAACAAGCCGCAAATTCGGTTGCTTCAGCAAAGAAAGCAGAGGAGGTCGTTCAACATGCGAGGCAGACGCTTCAACGGCCTGACTTCCCTCGACTCCGGGATGCAGCAGAGGCACACCCGGGGACAAAGAGCACTCCGGAGTTGCGACCTCGCTGTCCTCCTGGGAAGAGGGGAAGGGCAAAGACACCAACACCCGTACAACCACGAACTTGAGGCGTAAGTCGGTAACAACCGCATGTCAAGTACCTGACAGTCCTCAATTGCTTGCAATCATGGAATCAGCAGGTCAAAACGTCTCAAGAACGACTGTGGTGCGTAATATAGCCAATGTCTTGCAATGCCTGAGCTGTAGCAATGAAACATCCTTCTCGACAACACAAGGAGGGGAGTGGCCCGGTTCCACTGCTCTTCACCTCGAGCCGAAAAAAGCCCTCCAGATCCGCCCTCCGAATGCGTGGGCGCACCTCGTCTCGCACTTCTGACCGCTCCGATGGCGTCCACTCGGGGTCGGAGCCCTCCGCAGGAGCCGGCACAGCTGCAGCTGCAGCGCCTCGGCACGAGCTTTGCAGACACCGGGCCAGCCCTGAAAGGCTTCTCACAGGCAGAAACTACGAGGAAAGTGTCAGGTGGGGGTGTTTCGGATTTGCACAATTTTCGATCTGATCGAGAATTACTGCAAGACTGCCTGGATCCTTCTCGACGTCAGCGGCCACCTGCACGGCAGAGTAGGGCAAGTCAGAACATGACTGCTGACCATCGCTTCGGCATCTACAGGCTGCTCCAGAACTCGCCTTCTTGCGGATGAAATCACACTCTATCCCATGGACATTCCGGAGTCTTGAATCTTGAATGTCAGTCAACCATCCTGCTTCAAGCTGCCCACTTGCGTACAATCAATCACTGTGTGACAACTCCTGTAGTACCCTGAGACAGAGAAAAGCAACCTGCCGGGTCTTCTGCGGCGTCTCCGTCATGGTGGAGCGCACAGGGGCGAACCTCTCCTGAGCATGGCCCAAACATAAACTTCTCGACAAGAAGAGTCTTTAGAAATCTTAGGGCCACCCCCCTTCTTGAAGAAACATTCGGTTCATCTGAATAGCTTGGAATGCTTAGTGTCATAAAAGCTGGAGGGCCTTCTTCCGAGTGGCCCCGAAGAAGGCTGCGACACGGCCTTTCGCCGTCGAAGCGTTGGTGCCGAGGCCCAGCAGAAGGCCGCGGACCTGCAGCTCTGGCTTTGTGGAGCTTCTCAGGCTTTCTTGGTCGTCCAGCCAACCGCTCGGGACAGTCGCAAGCAGTGGGATGTTGTGGATGTTGAACTTAAACCTGCGGCAGCTGGTCACGGAGCTCTACAATGACACATGCGCATTGCATTCATTCGTGTGTTGCTGATTAGTTGGTCGGTCGGATGGTCGGTGGGTTGGTTGGTCCGTTCGCTCGGTCGCTCGTTCGCTCGCTCCAGAATTCATGAGGAATTCATGTGTTTATACGGGTATAGGTATATTGCACGCATGCGTGCTTCCATCTATGCGTGGATGCACACATAAGCATCATAATATAAGCATCGACACACACACACATAACAAACGCCAGATACCTCAAAGTATTTCTGCTGGTGCAGCCGGAGCGACATCCAATCCAGTGGCTGACTCCCACAACTTCGTCTCGAAAAAGCTCACTGCTAAAGCTTGTGCCGCATCCTAGGCTGGAGTTGGAGTGAGACTGTGAGACTTTGCAGTGCATCTCGACAGTGCAGCTTTCCCTGGTAGGTTGACCAGCCCTCTGAAGACTCTCTGGACTCACTGGGCACCCTCAAGCTTCGAAGGCTGAACCCCTACCGCAAGCCATACCCGACTCGACCCCTTCGAAGACCAAGCACTCAATAGATGCACCCTAGTCCCGACTTGCACAGGCAAGCCGTTTTTGCTGCCAAAACTCCGGCTCACCGCCTTCAAGCAGATCGCTTGCTACCGGCTTCAGATGTCTGCCCTCTGAGGGAAGGCCTAATAAGAGTGGGGGCCTTTCGATTGCAGGCCTGCCACCTCCGAGCCTTCACAGCCTCAATCTCACTCAACCTACAGGACGCAGGGCTAAGGGCTCCCCCCTCCAAGGCCACGGCTACACCCAAACTGCAATACATAGGACTGGTGCTGCAGTACTGTAGGCGTTTCCAGGTCGGGCTGAGAAAATGTCATAGCATGCCATGCTCTGCCTGCACCAGTGAGTGGTGAGTCTGCCAGTGTCATAGCATCTTGCACCGTGGCCCGGCTCGCTCGGCTGGGGTGAGCCCTAAAATGAAAAGCCTGAGGGTGCAGGCGGTCGGTGAACGCAGGGCGAAACTCATTGGTGGGGTTGAGGGGCGAACGACTTTGAAAACCAGTATGCGGCACAGCTCCCGTCTACCCACTCCTGCTTCCCAGATGCCCATTCATGACGTGTTGCCTCTGCTTGAGAGGACTGCAAATGGCAGCGAAGACAAGCGTCCATCGCAGGCTGCGGGAATTTAATTCAATGGCAGATCTGCAGTGTACTGCTCATTTAGATGGCATCTTGCGAGCTACAAAAACACGTGACCACAGCCCCAGAGTGCAACAGAGGCAATTCCACTCGCACCTAGGAGATTCTGGTTGCCCGACTCACTGTCGCAGGAGGGCCTGCCTGCTGCCACTGCCGACTCCACTCACAGACAGAGAGTGCGGCATTGAAGCTGATCCTCAAGTGGCACTCGCTGCTGCAAGTTTTAGCAAGATCCAAGCAGAGAAAGATCGTTGGCCTGCAGAGTCTCAGACCGACCGGGACAGGATTTCGCCTGCAAGCCTACAGCTGCAACTTGCATATGATCAAGCCATACAACTAAGGAAAGTCCGGAGCGCTCGAGATACCGAAACTCTTCTGTGCCATCATCGAATCAGCCTTCCTCAGAATGCCTCAGCATCTGCATGCTCTCGAGGACCCCACACATCTGCAGCATTGCCGGCGAGGAGAAACACTCTCAAGGCCTTCCGATCTCTGCAAACCCTTGCACAAGCCGGCGTCGTCAACTTTCAGCACGCACAAGCAGCCCGGACGCCCGAAAACCCTCAGTTCAGGATTGAGGTTATGGGCTCGCTCATCCTGGTGTATGAGGAACTGAGTAGAACCCCAAAAGTCCGTAGACCGGCCTCCTCCCAGAAGAAACGATTCTTGAGCAGCGTGATGCTCTGCGTTTGATCCTGGAAGAGAACAGCATCAACACGAGTGTCACATGCTGCATCCTCGAGAGATGCAGCTGTGGGAGTGGAGAGAGCAGGAAGCAGGGAATCCTTCGGCTTCATCTTTGGGGCAAGTGCGAGCAAGATCTCGACATCTTCCCGAGCCTGCAGTGAAATTTCCCAGCATACCCGAGCCTGCTCAGCTCCAGCTCATGTGCTGCTAGTTCTTGAACCTTACATCAGACCATTCTGAGCAGATGAAGGTGTCCTTTTCTTGTTTCGTTGGTCCGGCTTGCTGCGTAAAGAGGCGCACATCGGTGGGAAAAAGCCCATGAGACAGCCCAGGGCCGGCGCTCCACGCTGCGGACGACTGAGTCCGGAGAGTGTCAGAAAGGCTTAAAGACGAAGTGAATGAAACCCGCCGGGCGGGCTCGAGGTGCGATGGTCTTTCGCGGAAGATATTCTGAGATTGCTGTGCTTCAGAGCTCGAGCCCTCTACCCAGAGCAAATCGCAAACTTTTTCTAGTGACTGACGGAATCAATGATCGGCTATGTGTTACTCCTTGACTGGGACTCTGCCAGAAAGGGAGAGAACGGTAGCTGCGAATTGCCCTGAGCTTCCAGTCTCTGCATCCAGGAACAGGAGCTCAGCCGAAGCTCATTTCTTGGCTTTCCGGTCGACCTTCAAGCGTCCTGTCAGCAGGTTTGGCCGAGGATTTTGCCTTTTTCTGCTTTGGTTCAAAAGAGGCACCACCTTTAGTGGGTGGCGGGTGTCTTTGGAACAGCAAAGGGCTCGTGAAATCTTCTATTTCACGATCGATTTGCCTTGAAACTGCGGCACTGGATTTTCAAGACTTGTTCGCACGACATCCCAAAAAATCCTTGTCTAAGCTACTGTAAGGCCCCTAAATAGGTTATAAGCCACTTCGCAAAGCTTGCAGGTCAGGCCCGGAAGCTTGTGGACCCTGTGGCGAAAAACCCTCACTGGAAACACGTTTGTGAATTCATATGGGTGAGGCAACCCAAGCAAATGGGTTTGGGGCAGGCGACTGCTCTCGCAGGCACGATGTAGCAACTTTCTGTTGTTAGACGCATGAACTTTCGTGGCAGTACTGGTAGCGTGAAGGAATGCCTGCTTCTCAATGAACCAAATCGAGATCGAACGAGGCGAACGTACATGTCATCAGTCAAAGATCAGGGCTTTCTGACACTTGCTGCCAAAGCCAATTCCTTGAACTGCCGCATGTGTACATTAAGCGTCTTCCACCCGTGAAAACTGCGGCAAAGATGGGCCTGCCTTCATCGACAGTCCAAATCTCGTCGCACACCTGCGCAACCCCAACGCCCAAAGCTCCATTCGGCGACCCAGACAATATGCACTGCCGAGGAGTGCCGAATCAGGCTGCGCGGCAAACCACATATCAGACGTACACTCGGCGCCTCTTCGACGAACTTTTCGCTGTGCGAGACAGCGGCGCAGCCTGGGTTCGATATTCAGGCAGGTTTGTTCGTGGTACTCTCGCACTGGTCCTATAACTCCAAACCCAGAGCCTCCACGAAAGGTTCGGATCGCGCGCTTCAGCAGCTCGACCGTCTCCGTATCTGCAGGACCGAAGAATGACAAGACCGGAGTCGAAAAGAAGAGTTCTGCTTGGAGCCGGATACTTTCCACAGAACTACCAAACTTTCTGCAGACACAATACAATTTACGAATATATCGAAAAACTACATGCGTTCATCATACGTGTATGTAACTCTACGCATGCTAATGAGGCTGGTAAAGGAAGTTCATGTCAATCCCCAGCCGTACACACGTTTCAGCAGCCACGAGTACGACGATCAGCTAGCCCAAGCACCGACTGAACCTCGAAATTGCTCTGAAACCACAAAGCCCGTAAGCGCATCACTCTTTCAGATTGTGCATCTCAGGTGGGTGGCTCCTCTCTTGTCCGTCGTGGACGCGCGGTGCGGCGACGCCTTTCCCTCTCTGACTGTGCTACACCTTCTTGTGCAGAGGATGGCGATCAGGCTCCGGCGCCACCTGACGATGATTTTTCTGGTGGTGGCGTGGTTGGCCCTCCTTCGTGGCGTGAGGAGCAGAGGGATCTGTATAAGAGACTCTGTGCTGCCCTTTTCGAGCTGTCATCGGACTTAGATCAGAAGGCGGTTGTCGCGGTGATCTCTGGCGTGACTGCGGGCACCCACCTTGATGCTGCTGATTGCGACGCTGTCTTTGTCTTTGTGGCCCACGAGATTGAGGATTTGCGTGCAGATCCGGTTGATTGCCCGTGGTCGGCAACTCATCTTGGCTTCATCGATTGCGCCTTTGATCGCATGCGGCGAGAGGACTACTGTGCCAAGCCCCGCTGCTCGCTCTCTGACTGTCAATCCCTTCCTGGCGGGGATGGCCCTGTGTTGGCTGTAAGCTGTCACGCCCCTTGCTCAACGGCCGGTCCCGAGCAAGTGTGCCCTGGCCCCGACCCCGCTAGGCGGTTCCCCTCCTTAAGTGACTGTGCTTCCTCTGGTGGTGCTAGTGGCCTTAGCAAGCGATCGCATTGGTACGCTTTGTCCTCTGCTGAGAGTCGCACGGTGTGCGCTGTCGCTCCTTTGCCGCCGAGGCGCATTAGAGGTAAGCAGGCTACTCCTTGGGCAACTTTGGCTGCCATTGCTAGGCATGACCAGGGCAGTGCTGGCCATCATGATGATGCTCGGGTTCCTGCATCGGATTGTGTGGATGCTTCTTGCGGGGCTGGTTCGTCGAAGCTCGCTGCTTACCGTGCGCGTGGCTCCACCCATAACCCTGCTTTTATGAAGGTTGACTCCTTTGTTGAGCCGTGCGCTCACTGCCCGCATGTCTTTCGCACCTCCACTGCTCAAGCTCTTGCGAAGCTGAGACATGCTCATTACCGGAGGTGGCATCCTGATGTTCAGAGGCAGCACGGCCGCTTCATCGGTAGGACTATCCCTTTGGTTGAGCTGAACGAGCAACAGTCTGCGGATTGGAGGTGCCCTTTGTGTAATGTCGGCATTGTGTTGGGAGGCTGCTCTGGCTTCTCTCGAAATGTCATCAAGAACACGAAGCATTCGCATCGACTTGAGGCTCATCCAACTTACTCCAAGCTGGAGTTTAACAATGCGTCAAAGCGTAAGGTTATGCAGGGAGGGGCCCATGTCATGCGAAGTCGAGTCTTCACTCTGAATCGGCAACTTGGTGTGCGTAAGGCCAAGGAGCGCACTCTTGGACTTGAGGGATACTCGGTTTTCACGTGGCCGCGCTTGGGCGCGAAAGGCAGCAGGACCCGTCTTCATCTTCATATGGCTTGGAGGTGTGACACTTGCCTGCGTACCTTCAGGGCTGTTACATGGGCTCGCGCTCATGTTTGCGAGACTGCCGATCCTGAGACGGTGAAGCGCCGGCAGAATCAGGTCGCTGCGATATGGGAGCAGTGTCGTGGCAAGGCTCATGAACATGGTGTTGACGATAAGACTTTGCGGGAGGTGGTGGATTGCGCCATCAAGATGCTGGGGGGTCACTTTCCGTCTTCATGAACATCCGCATCGCCACCTTAAACGTAAACCGTGCGGGCTCGCCTAAGCTGGCGAGCATCGTTGACACTACGCGGTTTCAGGATACAAAGTGTGATGTGCTCTGTCTTCAGGAGTTGGATGTGCCAGAGGGCTCCGCTGCTACGTTCAAGGCTGCCTGTACTAAGTTCGGTCTGCACCTCTACTTGGCTTCGGCCACTCAGGGGCTATGTAGGACTGGCATCTTGTCCAAAATACCTGGACGTGCGGTCAGCTTGCGTACTGACGGGCCAGTCAGATGCAACTCTGCGGTCTTTGAGCTTTGGGCTGCCGATCAGTATTCCAAGGTGCTGGTTACGTCAATCCATGCCACTCCTTCAGATCATGCTCTTGCTCTTTCTGATGTGCAGCGGGCGGTTGCAGCTTCTAAGGAAACGCGCTTCGAGTGGGTTTTGCTCGGCGACTTCAACCTGGATCCGCACGACGATGTTGAGATGAGCCAAGTCATCTCACAGGGTCTGGCTTGGCATTGGGATGAGCCCTTTTCTCAGCTTCCTGCTACGCGTGCCAGCGGCAGGCGGGTGGACTATGCGCTTGGTTCCGGGCGGGTTACTCCAACGGCTGTTTTTCAGGCTTGGACGTTTTCTGATCACGCCTTGGTTGGGTACGAGGTGGACTTCTCGAGCCCTGCTGGCTGTTTCGCTCCTTCGCGGCGACCTCTGGCACGTGACGTGGTCACTGACGAGGCTTGGCAGCAGGTTTGGGTTGACGGCCTCCTCTTTGACACGTACCTTCGGGAGAGCCAGGTGGACAAGGCATGGTCGTTGCTGTCTGACGCCGCTGAGTGTGTTCTTTCGGTTGGTGGCACCCGGGCACACCGGTTGGGCAAGATGCGTTCTTCCTTCTGGCAGCCTACGGCTCGCAGACCTGTCTCCAAAGCCGCCCGTGGGGTTGAGCCTTTGGTTACGGTTCAGCTGCGTCGTCTTCACCGTCGTCTTCTTCACCTTCGGCTTCACCCTCGCGAAACGGCGCTTCGAGCTGTGGTCAAACGGCAGTTGCAGAGGATGGCCATTCCTGTACCTCAGCTTTCTGCTCTTCGTGGTTGTGCTCCGGAGTCCTGTGTCGACTTTGTTGCTAACCTCGTCACTGAGTTAGAGACTGCGAGTCGCGAGCATGCTATGAGCTGCTGGCGGGCTCGCATGCAAGACGACCCTGGTTTACTACGGGCTTGGGTGAGGCGCCGTGCTCGTGATGATGCTGATCTGAAGCGTCCTGTCCCTGCGGCGGACTCTGGTGTTTTGGAACAAGCCATCCATCCGGTTCGGATCATCGACGATGCAGAGCAGCAGTGGATGGACAAGTGGGGTCGCAGGCCTTCCTCGCAAGGCTGCGCCGCGGTTTCGCGCCTGTTGTCTTCGATACCGGCCCGTGCCATGGTTCAGGATTGGCAGCCTGACCTGTCTGGTCCTGCGCTTCGACGTGTGGCCATGTCCATGCTGGGCAAGGCCGCTGGACCCGACTCGTGGCGTGTCGAGGACTGGCTTTTGCTGCCTGACGGGTTTTGGTGCTCTTTGTCTCGGCTCTGGTTGCAAGTTCTGGCCTGCGGTGTCGTGCCTGCGCGGTGGTCAGAAGGCAAAGTCGTTCTCATTCCCAAACCCAGCAGTGGGATGAGGCCGCTGACGGTTCTCAACGTGGCCTGGCGCGTCGGCGCCAAGGCGCTAGCCATGTCTCTGAGGAGCTGGACTACATCGTGGGCCAGTTGTCGCACGCTGGGCGGCGTCAGCCGTCGGTCGACACGTGATGTCTACTTGCAGGTGTTGGAGTCGTTAGACTGTGATGAGAACTGCTACGTGCAACAAGACCTTAGCAAGTTCTTCGACAGCGTGCAGATTCCTCAGCTTCTCCTCACCTTGGAGCGCTTCGGTGCCCCCAGGACTTTGCGCGATTTGGTGCGTGGCTTCTATGATTCACATTGCCGTGTTTTCTCATACATGGGCACTTGTGGCAAGGGGTGGAGGCGCATCACTTCGGGTATTGCTCAGGGGTGTCCCCTGAGCCCGGTCCTCGTGGCGGCTGTGATGGCAACGTGGAGCTTCTGTGTCGAAGGCACTGACGACTCCAACTCTGGCGTGGTCCGCACTGTGTCCTTCGTGGATGATCGGCTTGTGTGGAGCTCTTCTGCTGATGCTTTGTGCGGAGCCATGAATCGGAGCAATGCCTTTGATGCTGCTTACGACTTTGACTGCGACCGTACCAAGAGCCGGGTGGGGGTTCGTGCTGGGAGCGTGGCTGGAGCAGCTTTGGCTGCCTCGATGGGCTATGATGCCCACGACTTTCTGGACCTCTTGGGCATCCGCATCACCTTGAACGCTGGTCAGGTTCCAGTGGTGGGTCGCTTCGAGCTTACGAGGGCGCGGCGCTTGATCCACTTCATCGGGGTCACTCCGGCTGCGATGGCGCTGAAGCAGCTCATGCTCCGTTCTTTGGTTCTCCCAATGGCCTTCTGGGCAGGTGGCTACGCTCGTGTCGAAGTGGAGGACCTTGTTAAGCTGAACAACGAGGCCACGTGGCTCTTGGGCACTCGCAATGTCGCCGACGCTGCCAGGGTGGTGCTGTGCGAGGTTGCTGGTTGGGATGCTTGGCCTTCCTTCGTTTACCAGAAGTCTGCGCTTGTTGAGGCCATTCGCTTGGCGTCTACTCCTCGCGACTGGATTGAAGACGCTCCGCTCACCTTTGTCAGCAGAAAGTGGTACGACTTGCTGCCTGTCACTAACGAGGTGCTCAGGGACTTGGGCTGGTGGACCAACCAGGCTGGTGCGCACCTTTTCCGGCGCGACTCTGTCGGTGTTCTTCGCCAGTTTCAGCTGGGCTTTGACAATAGAGAGGTGCTCTTTGAGTGGCTCCGTGATGTGCATCGTAGACTGCGGCTCGCTGCTTGCAGTCGTGTTTGCAGGTCGCTTCACCGTGATCCGCAGCAGGACTTGGCGCAGGGGCTGGACCTGCCAGGGCCTCCTCCGGGGTCGTTGTGCCTCTTTCAGGGGCATGTGAGGGCGTGGAAGCGTGCCCGTGACGCTTTGGACAGAGCAGCTGCGCTGGCTGGTGGCTGTTCTTCGTGGTACAAGGTGCAGCGTGACTACACCAGCTCTCTTCCTGCCGCTTCGCAGCTTCGGTGCCTCTGTGGACTGCGGCAACCTTCAAGGCCACACTTGATGTGGGCGTGCCCACGCACTGCCGCTTTTCGGGCTAGCTTGGGGACCCTCCCACGCGGCTTGAGGAGCGTCTTTTTGCCCGAAGTGTTCCTGAGGCCTCCAGACGTGGTGGACTACTCCGGCTACATCGAGGACGTTGCGGAGGCCATCGACATCAGGTTGGCGCGAACTCCGTGCTCCACGCTGTTTGTCGCCACTGATGGCAGCGTGATCGACACCGTCGCCGCGTGGGCCCTGGTTTTTGAGGATGAGCAGACTTTCGCTCAAGGTATTGCTACCGAAGATCAGAGCCCTCATCGGGCTGAGCTCGAGGGCCTTCTTGCTCTTTTTCGAGCTCTGGATCTGTGCAAGTGCACGGGTGTTGTGCATGTCATCTGCGATTGTCAGGCTGCGCTTCTGGTGGCGGAGGGTGGTGGTTGTGAGCGTCTCATGGCTGACTCTTTCACTGCTCTGCTGTCGCGACTTCGGAGCCGTTTTGAGGTGCATTGCTGGTGGTGCCCGTCTCATGACAAAGTGGCTCCGACTCGATGGGTGCCTCCCCCTTGTGGTGAGGCCCGCGCCAGGCGGCTCAACGCCTCTGCTGATGGAGCGGCGCGGCGACAGGCTGGACGCCTCGCTGCTGGCTCGGCCAGGCAGCGCTGCCTGATGTCACGGAGGGCGGCGGCGAGTTGGGAGCTGGATGCGCTCAATGCACTTCGCAGCGTCGCTCGCGTATGGATGGACGCCTAGTGCTTTCGGGCAATCTTGACAGCGAGGACTTTGGCATCCTGCTGTCGCTATCTTTCATGTCATCTCTGGATGAAATGCTTTCTCGTGGCATCAAACAAGGACAGACACATGAACAACGCGACAGAATTCCCAAACTTCCGACCCCTGAGACAGCCGTTGAAGCAGAAACGGTGATGAACATGATAATCATGACGATGGCGAGAAGAATGATGCTGATGGTTGCATCGATACCCTTCCAGCTGTTGTTGCACTTGTTGAAGGAGGGCTCTGTCAGTGAGAAGGGCAAACTTGTGCGGCCGCATCGTCACCCGCGTGGGCTTCACCAGTTTCATCGCCGTAAGAATCTCGGCCGTGCTCGCAAAACCCTCCTCAGACTGCTCCTCCACCTGATAATCGTCATGGTGATGATCACAAGAACAAATACTAGTACCATAGAACTACAATCGGAAGCATTCAACATCATCACCACACTCATCAACACTTGTAACAATGCGGGGCATCATAGCCGTTGCTACAGGCATTAGTCTTGTCATCACCCAGGGTGATGGCCACTACGATGTTTCGGTATCCAGAACAACAGCCCGAAGATAACATCATCATCAGTCATCAACAGCAGCAGCAGCAGTGCGGGCGGCGACGACCCCACCCCTCGTCCACCCTTGCCCCGTGGTTGGGCGCGCCTAGGTAGTTCGTCGGCTCGTCGAGGCACACGACGTGGGGCCTCGCGCAAACTCTCGAGCCGAAAGGCCGGGAGGGGCTGAGCTTTCGACTCCGTCCTGGCTCTTTAGTGGATGCATTGGCCCCCGAGGCAAATGTACGTTTGAGTCACTGGCTTGATTTGGGTTCTTCTGAAAACACCAGCAGGCAGATCGGAAGATGTGCCCCCTGCTATTTCTCGCTGAGAACTCTCTGCCTGTCTGCGACGAAGAAACTTGCGCAGCAACTACCTTTACCAGAGGAATCCCCTTCCAAAAAACGCACGGGCATGGGGTTGCCCCTCCCCCCATTCTATAGTATATTTTGGGGTATTGGCCAGATTAGCGTTTGTAAAATGGGAGAGGGGTAACGCCACTAAACATTGGTTTTGGACGGCACCCACCCCATTTTATAAAGGAGTGCTCCCCTGTGCAGAACAAACTTGAAACCTTCACGAACACTACCACCTACCACCACCACAGCCACCGCCACCACCAAAACCACTCCACCTCCACTTAAACCCTCATCCCACGCACTACAGCATAAGCCCGCAATTTCAAAATCAACCATGCTGAAGCGAAAAAGCCAAGCTCTGCCACGGTCTGCGCGAAAAAATTGTAGCCGCTGGCGGACCGGCAGCAACAAGGACTGCGGGAGCCGGGCCTCCCCCCTCTGGCGATCTCGAAGGAGTGACGCAAAAAGACGAAAAGCGGAAGCTCAAAGACTAAGAGAAGAACCAGCAGAAGGTCAAAGACTAGAAGCGGAAACTCAAGAAGCTGAAGCAAGAAGGCTGGAAGCGGAAGCTCAAGAAGCTGAAGCAAAAAATGAAAGCGGAAGCTCAAAAAACTAAAGCAAGAAGACTAGAAGCGGAAACGGGTTTAGGGACAAGCTAACTACGACTACTTGGAACTGCATGAGCTGGGACATGCCGGCACTGCGCAAGCCGGGTCTCTGTCCACTCTGAAAACAACATGACAGCAATGATCCTTTCGAACTCATGGGCCGGGCTTAGGGGTTTAGAGGGTTGTAGAGAAGTTTCGGAGTCTAGTGAGTCAGTTGAGGGGTTAAGTTTTCAAGCGGATTTAGCCGGGTCATTTTTGTGAATGCACATGGGGCAACAATGTGATCTAGATGTATCTACAGATATGTACAGATAATGAGAGTCGGTACAGGTGAGGTCTGCCGGGCCTCAGCATCTGTATGAACAGGGGGGGGAATGGGGTAAGGTTGACGAACCACCGGAACTGCTTCTAAAATGGGGGGGGGGGGTAACGTCTGCCAAACCTCCAGATTCTTATAAAATGGGGTGTGCTTGACCCAGCACTTTCTTATGGGAAAAACTCTTTCACAACAGGGGGTTTACACTACCCCGTTTCAGAAGGCTATTCTGAAGGGGGATCCAGAAGACTCGGTCACGGATAGGGCCACTGGACTCTTGTACTGTGGCTGCTGGCCTGGTCCAGAAGGCGGCGCCAAGCGCCAGCTTGCACTTCTGGCCAGAGGAGAGCATGGAGATCTTGCGGCTGCAGACCACATCCTCCCAGACGTGTAGGCTTCGGAAGCACGCCGTCTCAGGAAACGTCAGGATTCCTCGACGCTTTGCTCCACCCCTATACATACATAGCACTCATTCCGTGTATGCCAGTCGCCCACAGTTTCTTTGCTTGAAGTTTGTCCCAGCGCAGCTTTACACCAAGCCACGCGGGACTGAAGAGCAACGACCCGAAACTGCGACTAAGCTCAGTCGATTTCCAGCCACTTTCCAACGCGACTCTATCAAGTGAAATGCATCAGACGTAAACATCTTCCTCAGTTTCGCAGCACCTCGTCCAGCCCAAACGGCTCCAAATGCGACAGGATCTCGCGATCCCTGGGTAGATCGCTTCGTCCGAGAATGCGTAACACAGCTCTTGCCAAGCCCTAAACCCCTAAACCCTAAACCCTAATGCCCATGTCAAAATGCAACCGAGATGCGTCAAAGGTCGCTGCTGGCTTCCTGTCAAAGGCTTGGCCCATGCAAGCTCTTCATGAAAGAGCCCGCTTCGACTCATGCTGCACCCTGCAGCTCCCTCTGCGGATTGTAGCTTTCCGCTCCATCTAACAATTTTAGAATCACGGCTGCGTGCGCCTGCCCAGGCTGTCCAGATTCGATCATCCAGGTCCTGCACGAGCTTCAGCGCCTCCCAAGCAGCTCCGTCTCCGTCTCTCTCTCTCTCTCTCTGTCTCTCTCTCTCTCTCTCTCTCTCTCTCTCTCTCTCTTCTTCTTCCTTCAGGTTAAGGAGGCTTGTCAGGCCCCCCGGCCCATAGGGCCCCCCAGTTTTCCGGGGCTTTCGGGGAGAACTATACTCTCTCTCTCTCTCTCTCTCTCTGCCTTCCTCCCACTCTCTATGTTTCCTTCTTTGGAGGAAGAAGGGGAACAGACTGACCCCTTGCACCACGCGCCGCCCCCAAGCAAAAACGTCGCAGCGTGCCGTGGAATCTGAAGGCGAACGTGACCTACAACCTCTAACTTGGATGCTCGTGCGCGCTGCAACCATGCAAGTTGCATCAGAGTGCTGATCACAAAAACTAAAGCTGGAAAAGCAACACGGTGACTCTCGGCGCAGGCCTTCAGCTGCTTCAGCCTGCGGACTAAGGCATGGAGCTAGGGGGTTTTGGTCGCAAGGTTCATTGACTCGGTCAGACCTGACTCACTTGTGGAGAGTTGGATGTGTGCAATCGACCAGTCCCTGTCATTGCCGGTAGTCTGCTTCTGAATTCGCCCCAAAGTGGAGTAGCGGGCTTTAGGGGTTTAAGGCTCTGGGCCTCCGCGAAGGAACAGCCCTATAAAGCAAAATGAGCAGGGCCTCCAATGAGGAGACCAGCATCAGACTAGCAGTTTAGCTCACTTGGCTTTCAGCAGAACAAGCGGGGAATTTGCCGGAGATGCTAAGGATCACCGAGGGTCGATACTTTCTCATCGACTCCCTTCGAGCCTGCTCACGGACTCGTAGCTGTTTTCGGCGGGGCTCAACTCCTTCCATTTCACCTGCAGATGGATTGGCCAAGACCGGAAAATTCCACGGGGCCCTAAGGAGCTTCGCTCCGCCTCGTAGAGGTATTCCCGGTCCTTCTCCTTGGCCTTGGTCTTGTCGTCCTTGGACGATGTCTAAAAGGGCCCTGCAAACCCGGCACCCTTTCCGCGCTCACGAGCAGCTTCTGCCGCCTCTCGGCGTTGCCTGTATCTCTTGCAGATCGCAGTGTGCATGTGGATTTGTTGCATGCGGCGCGAAACACGTACTGGAAGTCACAGTCACAAGCTAGTACTTATGCATGTCAGTGCACCCTCTACATATGTGAATGGAGCTCCGTCAAAAACTTGCACGTGAACCAAAGGCCGACAAGGGGCCGTGACTTCTATTCCTGGGCTGGATCAATGCGCTCGAATCTCAACTCACTCTGTGCCAAAGTGGGAGCGTGCCTTTCCTGTCGCCAGGTTGCAGTGGAACTAAACAGATCCGTGAAAACGAAACAAGTCAAATGTCTGGAATGTGCACTGTTCGTTGCCCATGCAGCTTCATCGCCTTCCTCACGGTAGCATGCATTCAGACCCGTATCTGCAGGCTGGTACATCATTCGACTGTTGATTCTTGCGACGCCCAGACCTGTCGGATCTTAATCAGGGATCCCCGCCATAAAGAAGGACCCTATTTGGAACGACTCGCCAGTCCTGGCTGTCCTCTGAGCTGCAGGCAAGTCGCGCCCGAGCAAGGCCTTGACAAGCAAATGCATATCTGAAGCCGCAAGAAATGCTGCAGCTCGTTTAGTGCTGCTCGAGCACTACTTTGCTGTATTTCTGCCATCATCACGACTTCGTCGTTCGGATTTTCAGGAGGAGGATGAGATGATGATCCTTACGACGGTTTTAACCTCCGGAGTCCCGCTCTAGTTTCGGGTATTCACTGTTACAAAAACACATATATCTGCGAGCATGATGCATGATGTTGTGAGTATGGGGCCTCACACCCCCAGCCTGTCCCGACCTAGGTCCTCGAGTGCAAGCTTCCATAAACTTCAAAATCCGCCAACCATTGAATTACTACACCCACGTTCATGCTTGGTAACTACTATCGCCAAGAACCCGAGTATATCACGTCTTTGCCGTGATGAGTGTCAGCACCGAGTGAGTACTCAGTACCCTGGTTACGAGTTTTCCATGTGTATTACAACTGGCAAGAGCTCTCTGCCTCGACCCCTTTGCCCCGCTTGCCGTGCCGGATGCCACTCATTCCTTAGCTTGGAGCTGGGCCCCTAAGCACAAAGCT